TAAAGCTCCAGTACTTTTTCTAGCACTGCTCGCCACATCCACTCCTAAAGTATGGAAACTGGCCAAACTCTCCTCCCTCATCTCCCAGTCCAGGCCAATAACTATGTAAGGCTTAAAGGATGTTAAAATTTGTATAACATCCTTCATCCACAAATCTCAGGGCAGTTCACAACCATGTTAAGAAAAGGTCTGTGATTATGACAGACATGTATGTCAGGGACTAGCTGGATGAGGAAGAGTGGTAGGCGCCAACTGCGCAAGAATCCCGCAGGAAGGACATGGAAGAAGATGACTAGGACCCTGGATTGTGGTGGTGGGACACTGAGGAGCAGTCTGGGAAAGGGATGAGCTGGGAGGTGCTAGAAGCAAGAGTTTTGAGCGATCAAGGGTGATCAGAAGAAGGAGGCCCTTCCAGGACAGGGCTAGAGGCGGAGAGTCACAGTGTAAATACAGATTCAGATAGAGAGGAGTCAGAAGTTGCCTTTGCTACCCAGCAGGACAGTCCCAGTCCTGCTGATACTCCTCCCCCTCTGACACCTTGCTCTAGGAGAGTCCTGCACGTTGCTGAGCAATGGGTCTGACAGGCCAAGAGGAGGAGTCCACCCCTTCAACATAGCCTTCATCTGCTTGGGAGGGATCCAGAGTGAGAGGCTAGAAATTGCATTTCATGCCTCATGTTCTTCCTGCCCTGTGGATGACCTGTGATTGCCTGACAGTTCTGTGACACTGTACACTGTATCCCATGTTTGACCATCCACTTGTCATCTCTCACACACGCAGCTTTATTGGAGTCCATAGACAAAAAATACACCGCACTGTGTACTGTCATCTCACTGTAATGTTGTCCGGACATTTGCTTCTCTCTTATGAGTACTCCTATGATTATTGCATATATAATGATGTATATACAGTGGTAGCTTGGGTTGCAAATACTTCGGGTTACAAATGCTTCAGGTTACAGACTCCGCTAACCCGGAAGTAGTACCTCAGGTTAAGCACTTTACCTCAGGATGAGAACAGAAATTGTGCGGTGGCGGCGGCGCAGCAGCAGCAGTGGGAGGCCCCATTAGCTAACGTGGTACCTCAGATTAAGAACAGTTTCAGGTTAAGAATCGACCTCTGGAACAAATTAAGTTCTTAACCAGAGGTACCACTGTAAATGACTGTTTGAAGAGATTTTGAAGGGTGTGTTTCAAATGGCACTTGCAAATTGAAGAGGTAGGGATAAATCTTCTTGTTAGTCTTCTACAGTGTCTGCAGTAGCTATTGCTTTTTCTAAAACAATACTTAGACTGCAATCCTATGCACACTTACCTTGGGAGCAAGTTCTATTCAGCTTAGCAGAATTGACTATTCACTAAACATGCTTTGGATTTCATTGTTACCCTTTCAAAAAGTTGAAGAATCTGAATACTTAAGAGTCTTCTTCGTCTTACTATGAGTTGATTTAGCCTTTTGTTTTACTAATATGCATGCTGGTGCCTTGAAGAAGCTGAAATCGAAAAAACTCCTGACACTTTCATAACAGCAGACCTCAAAGAGGGATTCTCCTTTATCAGGTGCACATACAGACCCAAAGCATAGCTTGAGTTTGGAGTTTAGTGTATGTGACTACAGAATACAGGAAGGAAAACTTCAAGGAAAAATAAAAAGAGCAGCTATCAATGTTTTCTTAAGTTTTCATCAGCAGGCCATTGTCTTCAGTGAAAATATTTTCCTTTCTAAATTTTATTTTTCTAAAATCAAATACATTGTAACTGTAGATGTGCCCTTTAGAGTAATCTGCATCCTTGTTTGGAAACCTACCATGGGAACCTTTTTATGAGTCTTGGAATGAATTTCATGCAACCTGTATTAAAGGGCTTAAATTACGTATTCGGACACTGTTCTCGGACTTGAATTAGAAACTTTTCTCCCCCCCTCCTCTCTTCCCTTCCAAGGTTAAACCTGTGATAAGTAATTGTCACACTTAGTGCCCTTGTACAATGCTAATTCAAAGTGACATGTCTAAACTGGCCCTAGTAACATGAAGAAACTTAACAGGTGTGAGGGGTGGATCTTCCCATGGGCTCTGCTGCACTTCTAACTAAAAAAAAGCCTAGAGAAAAAGTGAAATGAACCTTGAATAAATCTGTCAGCAGTAATTATCTCAGCAGCACTTTATGAAGGGATAAAGTAAGCATTGGTGCTAGTGGAACGTGAACACACTCCACCCTTGTGATTTTTTTCCACCATCCAGTTAGTGTTTAATTTTTTAAAAAAAGATTTAATGCCTGACATATTATGTGTTGTATACAAAAGGAAAATAGTTCATTTCCTGTGAAAAGATAAAACTAATTGGTTGTTAGTTGTGCTAGTTTTACTGGTGGGTTTAAGAATAAACCCAAAATGTTTTTGTTAATTTTGAAATAATTTCAGTGAAATTTCATGCTTTTTTGAGTGCCAAGAGTTAATGGCTGCCTTTAGTCATGCCAGCATAGAAACCCAGATCTGTTTGCTAGCTTTAAGAATTTAACAGCACAGACCTATTAATATTCTTGTTCACTTTGGCTTGGCATATCTCCCCCACCATGTTTATATAGAAAACATTGCTGAAGGAAGTCTAATATAAAAGGTAAAGTAAAAAGAGAATGAAATGTTGAGCATAGAGCATATCTGCTGCTATTGCTGCCAATCCTGCTAATGATGGTTGATGGTGACTGTGGAGCTCAGACTTGATGACCTGGGTCTGCACTAAGAGACAGCTAAGATGGTATCTCACTTCTTCAGCAGCCTTAGCTTTTGTAGCTGGAGTCAGTCAGGGTCCTGCCCTCAAAGGCTAAGTGGGAAAAGGCCAGCAAGGCAGGGAGCAGTTCTTCCAGGACTCTCAGCCAAGATGGCCCCTGGCCTCTTCAGCAGCCTGTTTTCCCATCTTGCATCTAGTTTTAGCACAGAATATTTATTATTATTTCCCTCTAAGAGACCAGTATGGTGGCCTTCTCACGTCCAATTCTACAACATGCTTAGCTAGATAAGAAAACCTCTCATTGATTTTGAGCTATATAAAATCCCACCCTGAGCTATGTTTTAATATTATTGAACATGAGAAAGCAAACGGCCAGCATCATGTTCTCAATGTCTGACTTTCCTTATCTAATATTCTAACCCATTTATCCAGCTTTAATTGGGAGGAAGCCATCTATCATGAGACCCTTGGATCTAGTTCGTTTGCTACCACCAAACCTCTATTTGGCATTAGTCACCTTTCCTTTAGTGCGCTCCTTAGTGAGAGCTTAGGTATATAAACAGATGTTACTCCCCCTCCCCACTACTATGTTCAATACTGAATGAAGCATGTGATATAAAATGGCAGTGCCAGCATTACAAAGGCAAGCGTAGATTCTGTTTTATGTATGAAAGAGTTTCACTGATAATTGAGCTTGACCTGAATGTCTGCTTTAATATTTCATTTATTCCAAAAGAGTCATTTCCTTTTAACTCTGTGATTTTAAAATTGTGACTAAACTGCTATTTAACCTTGCTACAAGAATGTGGCAGCAGGCTAGTCCAGGCAGGTCAACACTCACTTGGTTAGCTAGCACACTTAATCAGCTTGCTTTAACCTGAAGCAAATTAAGGCTTTTATGAATTCTAGCACATAAGTGATTAAAAACACCCTGACTTGAGGATAAAAATAAATAAGAGTATTTCTAGCATACTTGCTAGGCTTTGGATAAGACTTTTTTAGCCACTACAGTAACTTGGAAAGTAGAACTTCCTTCACATTTTTAAAAAATACAGACATTTAGCCAGTACATTTTAAATTGTTATAGAAAATGCACATCAGTTACTGTTTATTCAGTTTTGACAATATGTGTATTTTTACCCTGCAAGGACATGTTTGCATAGCTGCTTATTAATCAAGAAGGCTCTGTGTCAGTTGATGGAGCGGGGGAGAAATGTAGATGTAACTCTGTTGTTATTCTTCTAAAGCGAATAAAGATTTTAAAACTCTCAACTATTGGACAATTTAAATGTAACATGCATATTTTTCAATACTGCCTTAACCTTTTAGTGCACAAAATATAGCAAAGTAGTCTCTACTTTCTGAGATCAGGCCATATTCACAAACTGAGATGTACAACTGAGTTACCCTTTGGTCCTTTATCCATATTACAGGTTTCCTTCACAAAGGAAACCTCTATAGTCTGTGTTAAGGGAAGAAATATGTTGTCAGCAGCATTTTTTACAGCGACTAGACATGTTTTCAAGGTACTGTCTACTACATTGGTACAGGTTTCCACAGCTTCTAAGTGTTCTTACTCTTGTGAGAGCCCCTTATCAATTCCTCGCTCCCTCTCGATAACTTAGGCCTCTTCCATGTTGGCTCAGTTTTCATAGTCTGACTACTTCTAGATAGACTCTCCGTTAATGATTTTGGGAATCTGAGGTCTAAAACTGATTGAGATTACCTTAATAATGGGAACTGCCCACTCCTACTCAGTCACCCGCTTTGTACTTTGACTCCAACCATCTGTTGTCTTCAGTGCTATCTTGGCTCCTTAGCTGGATGGTGTTTGAGCTGCCTTGTTTTTTTCTTCAGTCACCACAACTGTGGTAAGGGCCTCTTCCTACCCATTGCCTGTCCACTACTAGTTAAGAGAAATGTAAATGATTCCCAATTTGTCAAGTGCATGAGCTTAGTGCAGACCAGCTGTACTGCAATAATGAGGTAGCTTTAACTGTTTGCCGTGATGTAGACATTTGAGGATTGAAATGAAATGATATATTGAAAATAAATCTTGTCAAGAAAGGATATTGTGGAATGATCTCAGGTATTGCACCCTTTTTTCTAGCTCCATTTTGTATAACAACGTTCCTTGTGGGTAAATTCTAAATTTTCCAATCTTTAATTTTTTATTCCAGTTCGCTCAAGTCTACTGTAGTTTGGTTTTAGTCACTGAAAGAAACATGTTTATCCAAATCTGATAGTTGATGCAGCAATGTATCCTGTGTTTTAGGTGACCCTAGCAGCATCGGGAGTCTCTTATCCTTGCCACCGACTTACAGTTGGAAGAAGATCCTCACCAGCACAAACCAGAGAACAGTCAGAAGAGGTAAACACAACCTCCTTCCTCCCTCTTCCTTCTCACACACAAAATATGTTATTCGGACACTCCTTCAAGCTATGCTGAAAGCCACATTTGTATTCCGCTTACTGCCCACAAAACTCAGTTTGACTTTACTATAGCCTAATCTACGCTGAAGTCAGATTGTTTCAAACAAGCCATAGCTAAAATTAACCACGGTTTGATGAGCTTGGATCACAAGACAAGCTGCAATTCATTAAAAAAAATATGGAAGTGAAAACTCTCCCTGGCTAGGTTGAAGGAGGCAGTCAACAAAGCTAGGGGAAGACTAGGCTCATGCCATCACAACAAACCACAGTCTATCATGTTGTATGAACACATCCACTATTTACAATCCTATTTATACAAAATAGTTTTCTCAAGCCAAAATATATAGGGAATTTCCTCCAAGGTTCTTAATTTCAAACAGGATGGCCTTTATAGTTGTATATGGGAAACTACTAATATTGAAACAGTATTATATTATAAATCTGTTCTGCATTATTATTAACTATGGCTTTTCCTAAATTAGCAATGCACAGATGTACATATGGTTAGTGACAGTGATGGAGATGACTTCGAAGATGCCACAGAATTTGGAGTGGATGATGGAGAGATGTTTGGAATGGCGTCATCTGCATTGAGGAAATCTCCAATGAGTAAGTAATGCAATCCTTCATGCTGTGAATAGTGTAACATTGTACTGACAACAGTTGAGCAATAGGAAAGAACTTTGGTTCCTTTTGGTTCCACCAGATAGTTTTCTTGGAGATATATTTGAAGAAATGTATTTCAACATCCAGTGATAAACTCTTAAAAAAAAAAAGCTGATTTAAAAAGGAAGACCTGATAAATTAAGACTATATAAATGAATTCTGGATTCAGGCCTCCAGAAATCAATTCTCTTAGACTTAAAACTTAACTTCTGGGTTGTATCTACTAGCCTACTATATTTCAATGTTTTTTCTTTGAAATATTACTAAGATTTATCGTTATTCTAGAACTAGAACAAAAGCTATACAAATACTTGTGTAAAATATTTCAAAGAAAAAACACTGAAATATAGTATAACAACAGTTATAAGATGGCTTATAAGATTCTAATTTTATTGTTACAATAATAATACTGTCATATGCAAAAAGCGATACGTTGTTTTTATCATCTTCATCTTCCTAGAACTGGTCACAAATTCCATATACCCAAAGGGCCATATTATTACTGTTCTCTTCATTAAGGGTTATTAAAAGTTATTTGAATAATGCATATGTACAATTAAAGAAAATAGTAAAGGCAATGTTTTCAAAAAATATAATATGAATACTATTCTATGGGTAATTATACTACACTATACTATACTATACTACACTACACTATACTATACTATACTATACTATACTATACTATGTACTATTTTCCTTTCTTTTAGTGCCAGAAAATGCTGAAAATGAAGGAGATGCCTTACTACAATTCACAGCAGAATTTTCTTCAAGGTTAGACTTGTAATTGTGCATAATTTCTGCATCTATGGTTCATGAATGTGACTTATATTTTTACAAAGCATTTGGAAAAAATGTGGTAGTGATAAGATATTTGATATGATATGATATTTGAATCCCGAATCCCGAAGTTGTCAGATTTCTTTAGGAAATTTATTTTTAAACTTAAAATGTGACCTGCTTCTCCACATTGAGCCTCCCAACTGTAAACCATTTAGCTTCTCTAAATATCCAACCACACACTTCTCCTTTGCATACTCTTCCTAAGTTCGCAGCTACTCTAAACCATAAGACAGCCTGCAGTGGATTTTTTGCAGCAGAGATCTCTCATTCAGAATGGAATTATTGAAACATTTAATTCATAACACACATGATTGTGAGATTCTTTTGACGTTTCCATTATGTATTTTTTCGCAATACCTCAAGGACCGCCTCTTTCCATATGAACCTGAGGCCCTTCTTCACGTGCCTCCTCCACAAGAGGTCCAGAATGGGACTTTTCTGCAGTTGCTCCCTGTCTGTGCAATGCTCTCTCTGGGAAGGTTCGCCTGGCGCCTTCATTATATACGTTTAGGTGCCAGGCAAAAACATTCCTTTTTAACCAGGCCTTTGCCCTTTGACATCCGTCCTATGCCCTTTTAAAATGTGGGGGTTTTTTGAGGTGGGGTGTTACTGGGTTCTTTCTGTTTTTATTTTGGTTATGTATTTTGTGGTTTTATATTCTTATTTTTATCCTGTGAAGTGCCCTGAAACCTGCGGGTTTAATAAATAAATAAAATAAAAATAAATAAATAAAGTAATACACCATGGGATTTTTTTTAAAAAAAGATTATCTAATAAGTTTACGTGTGTGGTATGGGTTGGCTGAATGGCTATATTTCAGAAAAATGAAAGACTAAAGGGAACAGTGATCTAGAGCCAGGTATACTCAGACCTCTGTATGCCCCACGGACAGGCCACAATCTTACTCAGGAGAAAGATTCCCAAATGTGCATGGTTTGAATGTAGGGTCGGTGCACTCATATTCTTTCTAATGTCCTGTTTCCTTATTATGGCAATCTGCACAAAGGGGGGTGTGACTCTCCTAGTGGGGTAGGAGAACTGGAGTGGGGTGGGGAATCACATCTAACAACCAATGCACCCCTTTGGTTTCAGATAGTACATGGGTAGACGAGTCTAAAAAGCCTGAGATACAAATTTTCATGACTCTCTAGCGCAGGCACCCCCAAACTCGGCCCTCCAGATGTTTTGGGACTACAATTCCCATCATCTCTGACCACTGGTCCTGTTAGCTAGGGATGATGGGAGTTATAGTCCCAAAACATCTGGAGAGCAGAGTTTGGGGGTGCCTGCTCTAGCAGATATGGTGGCTCATTTACCAGAAGTAATGTATTTTGTGTTAACTCTGAAAGCGTATACTCGATCCTGACCAAACTAAGCCTCCTGATATGTATTGTGCATCTCCAGGTACAGATGGGAATGAAACCTCAGAGAGCCACTGCCAGTCCATGGTATCATTCCACATAAGGCAGCTTCCTAAGCCATGCAGCTCAGCTTTTGAGAACTGTTCTTAGGTGCCTGTCTCCAGCGGCCATTACAAAACTGACAGTGTTGGTTTTGGTGGAAGGCATTTCAGAGGGTGGTTTTTGAGTAGGATCCAGCTGCCTTTAGGAGCAAGTTTTCCATTTCTGCACTCTTCTCTTCGATATACCTATTGCCCAGCTACCTTCAAAAGGACAAGTCTTATTTTACCTTTTGAATTTCTCTGCTTTCAGTGAGCAGTGGGATAGTTTAACATCCTGTTGAGAGTATTTTTCCATCCGATTCCAGATTAGGAAGAAAGGGAAGGAAATGTAGTTAGCTGAGGCTGGGTCAAATGGCTATGAATAAACTTAATTCAGTTACGGAAGGTGAGGAGACGATACTATTTACTGTACTCTACAAATTGTTCTTGTAGCTAATGCAGTTTCGTGCAGTTAGCTCTACCATGGGAACTTTAGTGGCTCAAACTTGTGAGTTTTGATTTTGAAGCTTTGATATTCTGAGCGACTTCATATGGTGAGAGGTGTGGCAGGAAGAACTAATGCTATCTGCTATTTTGGGTAACAAGCAAAGGGCAAACCTCTGCAAATGCCTCATGGAGAGCAGCTCTCCATTTGTGTCATTTAGAAACCCCTTCCTCCCTTCCTCTATAAGTTTCTGTTTATGCTACCAACAGTGGCCTGTTCCTGCGAAGGTCTTCCCATTGTCCCTTGGAAGACAAATGAACAAATAAGAATAGAAATTGATTTTTGTGGCATCATTTGTTTAAAGCTGGCATTCTATCATTTAACTTAAATTTTTACGCTAAGTATAAGATTGATAACGTTTACATTTCAGGCATGCCAAAGTCATTTACTTGAGACTGCTCTCAGTGTCAGACTTCTGTATGTCAGAGTTGCATTTCTGGCCCTGGTAGCTCTCAATTTGATAGATAACAATTTTATCCATACAGAAATGGAAAATGTGCATATGCCTGAAATATATTGTGGTGTGTTGACCTGAAGTGTTGAATGCAAATAAAATGTTTTAAATATTGCTTCCTAGAAAATGTAGTTACTCTGTATTTTTGTAAAAAAAATTTTTTTTAAGTGCTGGAACCCATTTACATTTTTTTAATGTTTTTTTTTAATTGAAACATTTTGGTATTCACACAGATATGGTGACTGCCACCCAGTATTTTTTATTGGATCATTAGAGGCTGCTTTTCAAGAGGCTTTCTATGGAAAAGCCAGAGATGTAAGTACATTTTTAATACTATACTGTCTAAAATGCCTTTCTGGCCACTTCCTACACTGATTAACTATTGCAGTAGTTAGTTCCAAAATTGGTTATGTTTGCATGTCACATTGAAGCATAGTTAATGATTAACTGTGGTTTAACATGAACAAGCAGCAATGCATGCTGGTCAGACATCCCTACTTTACTTTCGCCCCTACTTCCGACTATGCCTTACTGTAAGCGGCGAATCATAAACCTTGGCTTGTCATGTTGTTTGAGCCCTAGTGGTTGTTTTCCTCAAACTACAAGTGGTAAGCCAAGAACAACACAAGTGTTGTCTCCGATACTATGTCAGAGGAGTTCTGATTGCATGACCAGGGCCTTCCGCCTTTCCCCACACATACCCAAAATCTGCTCTGGAGGGTCTCTGGAGTAGATTTTGATGATGCACGGGTGAGAGGAGGGGGAACATCCATTGCGCAACTAGAAGTCTGCTGCTCAAGTGGAGCAGCAGTATTGGATATAACGCCTTGGCTATGGGCAATAAGGGTGAGTTGTTAGAAAAACAAACCAGAAGCTTGGATTCAAATGACATAAGAAGCCAAGGCTTGTGGGTAGTCGCTCCCAACATGCTCCAGCAGGAGTGGAAGAGCAGTGAAGTGGGGACTTTTTTGTTCACATTAAACCACAGAGACACTTGAACCAGGCCAATGTATCAAGTAACTGAATAACAAGTTTAAAAGGATCAAACTCCCTTACAATTTTACATTATTTCCTAATTTCACTTATTTCCTAATGGGAGGATTTCCTTAAGAGTAGTTATTAGGAAGTAGTAATGTTTTTTAAAATACAATTTCTAAAATATATACTTTACTTCTAAAATAATTGAAATCTGATCTTCTAAACTGAGCTGCAGAGGGCACTTAATTTTACCAGGGCAACAGATGAGCTTGAAGCAATAGCATTCTTAACTTGAAGTGAGAAATTGAGTTGGAAGAGTAAATAAAAACAAGATTGAAGGTTTAAATCCTCTGCTAGGCTTTTTGAATTTATATGCTCATTAAATGTTTATTGGAGTGGTCGGATTACGAAGGATTTAGGGAGCTTCATCAACTGGTATATAGTTAATCACTAAGTAAAACACTACATTTTATAAAGTGTTTCTCACGATGCCACACTCAATCCATCTTAATGAAAACCACTTCAAACTGATTTAATTTGAGAGCACTTTGCAGCCAAGAGTGTGTGTAGACCTTGTCCTTTTTCTTGGGGAATTTTAAGTTGTCTGAGCAGAAGGTGTTCTGTAAAAACTCAGCTCCAGCTCCAGAGCAAGAACTAGTTTCTTTGTACTTTGTTTATCCTTTGTGAGGAAAACATCTAGCAGTTTTTGTGAATATGAATACTCTCTCTCTCTCTCTCTCTCTCTCTCTCTCTCTGCATATATATATATGAATAAAATAGAAAGTCAATGAAAGGTTCTGGTTATCAGAAATTGTACTTTTCTTATGTACTTGGTATACACGTAGTAGCTTACATATTGATTGATTGATGAAGAGACATTGTGATCTCTTTTTTTAAAGATAGTTACTGAAAATGTGTTATTGCACAATTTCAAAAAGATCGTCTTCTCCTGCATACATATTGTGACTCTCTCATAATCCAACCTTCCTGATGTTCATGTTAGAAGCAGAGCCAAGTTACTGATTGGTTACAGTATTATCAATTATATCATGGGTAGGCAAATTAAGGCCTGGGGGCCGGATCCGGCCCAATCACTTTCTAAATCCAGCCCACAGACGGTCCGGGAATCAGCATGTTTTTACATGAGTAGAATGTCTTCCTTTTATTTAAAATGCATATCTGGGTTATTTGTGGGGCCTGCCTGGTGTTTTTACATGAGTAGAATGTGTGCTTTTATTTAAAATGCACCTCTGGGTTATTTGTGGGAGATAGGAATTTGTTCATTACCCCCCCCCCAAAAAAAAATACAGTCCGGCCCCGCGCAAGGTCTGAGGGACAGTGGACCACCCCCCTCCTGAAAAAGTTTGCTGATCCCTGAATTATATGATATGTTTAAACTAGATAAGAAAAATTGAATTTTAGAGAAAAGCTCACAATTTGAAAGAGAGTTATTGCAGAATAATGAAAAATTATTGTCTAAAATGTATAAGCAATTATTGGAATGGGAAACAAAAGCCAAGCTGGTTAAAGTCTCGGTGACCTACTGGGATTGGTATGGGGTATAATATAGAACTAAACCTCTGGGAGAAGCTCTGGAAGAAAGATCTGAAATTTACTGCATGCTACATGTTAAAAGAGAATACATGAAAATGATTCATAGATGGTATCTAACCCTGAGTATACTAACTAAGATCAGTGTTAGAAACTGAGATATGAAATTTAGTAGCTAAATAGCACCTTAAACCTAGGTTATGGGTGCAACAACTGAATGTCTTGTCTTATAACAAGAATACAAGGCTGAAAACGAATGAACTGCAGCTAAAATATTATGTTCATTTTTCACATGGTCTAGTCTTTCCCCTGCCCACCCCCCAATTTTCTTAAGAGGGTTTCTTTTCCAGAGGGTGACTGGAAGTGGGAAGGCATAAAAAGATCCTCCTTTCCTTCCACTCTGCAATTTTAATCTGAAATATTAGGTGTAGTACTGCTCCCAGAGCTCAGAAACTGCTCATGCTAATGAAATTCCCTGCTGGAAAATGCACCTCGAACAATGGGAGTTTCCAACACTGGTTAAGATGTATAAGCGGAATTGGATTTGTGTTGGAAATATAAAGAAATGAAAGGAACCTTTTCCATATGTGGTGGGCATGCAAAAAATTAAAGAATATTGGGAAATGATATATAATGAGATAAAAAATGTTTAAAACAACATTCCCCCCAAAACCAGAGGCATTCCTGTTAGGAATGGTTCAGACAGAGGTACCCAGGTGTCAGAAAAACTTTTTAATGTATGCAACAACGATGGCTCAGATCTTGCTAGCTCAAAAATGGAAGGTGAGGGAGGTCCATAGCAAGGAGTATTGGCAAGCAGGTCTAACAAGTAGAATAAGAGAGCAAGAAGAACAGGTATTTAAAGAGGAGTGGGAATTTTTTGCTGAAAATAATTGTTTACAGTTGAAAACTGTGTCAGTATTAAGGTAAATTCAACAGTATAACATATTTAAAAGGGATGTAAGATGGGGAAATGAATTAGATGGATATACAAAAATATGCAGGAATGGCGGACAAATTAAAAGAACCTTGGAAGGGTAGGGAGGAAAGTTGTTGAATGGATGGCTATAATGGAAATTTGAAAATGTAATAAAAATTACTGAAAAGAAATTCATGTTAGAAGTCTTAGTGATACCTATATAGTTCTTTAAAAAACACACACACATATGAACTAAGTTTATTTTTCCCTAGTTTATTGTTGGTATGTTATAGAATACTGTAGGTGTACTAATTCAAACATGAATTTAACTAAATCCACCTTTAAATTATCTGTAAGTTATGGCTATTATATATGAGTTATCTTTTCACATTTCTTATATATGTGCATGCCTGCCATATGCTACTGCCAGGTTCAAAGATGCAAGAGTAGATAGGAAGGTCTATTGGTGCCAACAATATTGTAATATCAGTGCTAGGTGTGCCTCTTTACAGACGGCATTCCAAGGTTGGGCACCACCACAGGAAAAAAATGTGTCCTCTGTGGAAGCTTAACATACTTCTGCTTAATAGGGTACTTGGAACAGAGCCTCTCCAGAAGATCCGAAAACAGGGATAGGCTAGTAGAGAAAGAGGAACACCTTCAGGTCCAAACCATTTATGGCTTTAAAAGGAAGCACCAGCACTCGAAATTGGGCTCTAAAGCAAACAAGCAGCTAGTGTAGATATTTCAAAATAGCAGCAATATTGAATGACTCTTGCTGTACTCGTCAAAATTCTAGCAGCTAAGCTCCGCACTGATTGATGCTTCCAGGGCATCTCATGGCAGCTACACATAATCTAGCCAGGAGATTACCAGAACATAAATCACCATAGCTAAGCTATCCCTGTCCACAAGGAATTGCAGCCAATGAACCAGCAATGCTGGCAACGTGAACTTTGGGACACTGAGGCCATCTGGGCCTCGAGTGGCAATGGTAGATCAAAGAGTATTCCTAAACTGCATACCTGCTCCTTTAGGGGGTAGTGGAACCTCATCCCCAAACCTGAGAACACTCACCCACAATGTTTCCATGTTGGGATTCAGCTTCAGGCTGGTTAGTTACCGAATTCAGATTGAACCCTTACATTCTTTATAAATGCTTTTGGCAAAAGGATCTTCCAGCAGATGAAATTGATTACAGCACTGCCTGGATTTATGAGCACAGTTATACAAGTGGGACCCTGTAACACTATTTTGTTCACTATCTCCCTCCAGGATACTCTACGCCCACCAGCTTTCTACCTTGCCAACCGCATTTAATGTCCACTGAGCAAGCTAACTCTTAACTGGCCTTTTAAAATTTAATTTTATTTAATTTCCCCCACTTAGTCCCCCCCACAACATATGCTCAGATCGGAAATCTATTCCCCTTAGCATTTGCCTTGGGAACAAATTAAGAGCACCCCCTCTTAATTTCTAGCAACTATGCAGAAAAGGAAGAACACAAACTGAAACATTTTGCCACAAGTACACACTATTACAATTTTATTGGGAAGCCAAGAGTGTGTCCCTGGGTTATCTAAGATCAAAAATTAATCATAGAACTGTAGAATTTCAGAGTTGGAAGGGACCCCCAGAGTCATCTGGTCCAACCCCTTGCAATGCAGGAATCTCAACTAAAGCATCCTTGACAGATGGCCACCCAACATCTGCTTTAAAACCTCCAAGGAAGGAGACTCCACAACCTCCCAGGGGAGTCTGTTCCACTGTCGAACGGTTCTTACTGTCAGAAAGTACTTCCTGATGTTTAGTCGGAAACTCCTTTCTTGTAACTTGAATCCATTGGTTTGAGTCCTACCCTCCAGAG